AATATATCATGATCCCTGATTTAGTCTATAATTGTATTCGTATTTTTCCGAATATTCAAAGAGCTTTATAATAAGTGTAATATAAAGTTCGTATTTTTCCGAATATTCAAAGAGCTTTATAATAAGTGTAATATAAAGTCTCGCGGGACTCGACTTGGATTTCAATGTGAGACTTAACTTCTACGTGATGGCCGAGTTTTAACCACTGTGATACCCAGTCTTTGTAATTAAATGTTAACAAATAATTCAAATCACAAATTTAAACTATCGTGTTGTTGTGGTTTTCCTGATATTGTAATATCTTGCTCTAAACATGATGAGTTAATAACCTTAAAAAAAGCATTGAAATATGTAGACGATTGGGAGTTAAACGGTAATTCCGCTTGAGACAAACCGTTGAGTCAATTTGAAGGTTACCGACTAAGGGAGCGTTACCAAATTGCAACTGACTTTTTATATATGTTAGATTTATTATTTCTGATTTAATGTATAATTGTCAAAATATTCTAAGATATTGTAAATATAATAATGATAAAAATTAACATAAAATCTCAACTCGGTTGTGACTTGAACACGAGACTTCTACATGATTATCGAACATTATATCGACTGTTACACTCGGGATATATAATCGAATCTTAAATCATATAAATCCCTAAAGTAAACTATCATATTATCGTTGTTTTAACTAATATTATAATATATTGCTCTAAACACATGCTACTGATGATTTAATTAGCATTAGTAAGTAATTATATCAGTAATATTTATCCTAAAATCGAAAATACCTCAATATTTATGATAAAAAAATGATTTTACATTTCAAATTTTTGGACTTCCTTAGCCAAAAAGTAATATAACAAATAATGCCATACAGAGCGTCATACATTCACAGTTACTCAGGTATTGTTGAATTTATAACAATGAACAGTTATTTTCAACATTAATATATTTGTGAATAAATTGATTTTTAATGAATCTAATAAGATAACTAATTATTTTGTAATAAGTATATAAAATATGTATGTAAGTTTAAAAATAATAGTATAAACGAAATCACAATAACTAATCATTTCTAAACTTTGTAGGGGAAGTTATTGAAATTACTTATTTTGGACTGTATCTTGTATAGGAGGGGCCCGGCATGGCCAGGTGGCTGGCGCGCTCGACTCGCAATCTGAGGGTCTCGGGTTCGAATCCCCGTCACACCAAACATGCTCGCCCTTTCAGCCGTGGGAGCGTTATAATGTGACGGTCAATCCCACTATTCGTTGGTAAAAAAGTAGCCCATGCGTTGGCGGTGGATGGTGATGACTAGCTGCCTTCCCTCTAGTCTTACACTGCTAAATTAGGGACGGCTAGCGCAGATAGCCCTCGTGTAGCTTTGCGCGAAATTCAAAAACAAACTTGTATAGGAGTATTAATGTAGATGTATCACTTTCCCTGTATAAGACCTGCTACTGTGTTATTCTTATAGAACCTTTGAAGGTCTTAGGATGGGAGATATACTAACAATTTAGGTTGGGCTTGTATAGTAATACCTTAATATCGTGGTATTTATGTCCAAACATCATTATGGGGGCTGGAATGCTAACTGTTTTACTGTCTCCCCCAGTGATGTACGTATTCCGGTTATTTCTTTCTTCTTCTTATTATTTTTTTGAGCAGCCACCTTCCCACATCTGGCTGCAGACAGTGAAAGGT